TGAACGACCAGTGATGGTGAATATTTCTCCATGTATTTATTTGTCATTTATATATCTTTATCTGAGAAATGTGCGTTCACCTCAGATGCCCATTTTTGAATTGGGTCTTTGACTTTGGGGGGCCTGATGTTTTTCAATTCATTATATGTTCTGGATTTAAATCCTTACTCTGAGGACCTGCTGACTAAAATTCTTTCTCATTCTTTGAGTATCCTTTTCACTTTGTTAGTGATTTCTTTTGAAGTTCAAAACTTTTAAATAAGATGTGATGCCGGTTGTTGATTCTTTGAAGTATTTCCCATGTAGTTTGCATTTTGTTCATAAACTCTTTGCCTGTCTCTATGTATCCATGATTTCTACCTAGCTTGTCTTCTAGTAGATTTAGTGATTTTATTTTAATATTTAGATCTTTAACCCATTTTTGACTTTACTGCATGGGAATAAACATGGGTCTAGTTTCAGTCCTCAGGATATGGAAAGCCAATTTTTCCAGTACCTTTTATGAAAGAGGCTATCTTTCTTCAGTGAACATTCTACATCATGTGCTATGTCTATCCTTGGTTTTGACTGACAGCTTTGTTTTGCCATATTCGACTTTATTCTCTCCCCCCAAAAAAGTAATAAGAACTAAGGAGTAATAAAATCCAAAATGTGTAAATTTTGTTGTGAAAAAAAGAGGGGGAAAAAAAGAGCTCTAACGGATATAACAGCAAGTGTGTTTGGGGGTGTTAAATGGCTGACTATATTAATGTTTTTGGATCATTGAACACAGCTGTTTGCAGTCTCTCTGTTTGAATGTCCACTTTGTATTCTTTGATACTGTGATTTGAGCAACTATTTCCAAGATGATAATATGTAATCTATTAACAGGTGATTTCTTACTGTTATGTTTTTGTTTGTTTGTTTGTTTGTTTTTTTGTAGTTCTGTATTACGTGTACCCTTACACCGTTTTGTTATGTTTTGTGTTTTTCTCTTTTTCCTCTTAAATAAAATTAAAAAAAAATAAAAAGGGGCTCTTTATCTTTTCCATAATATCTTTTAATCTGTTCCATTGATCCTCAGGTCTGCTTTTTTGCCAGTACCATTTTGATTTTAGCACTGTAGCTTTGTAATACAATTTCAGGTCAAGGAGTGTGATGCCTTCTGCCTTGCCTTTGTTGCTCAGGAATGCCTTTGGTATTCTAGGTTACTTCTGTTTTCAAATGAATTTTAGGAATGTTTTCTCTAGGTCTATAAGGTATGTTAATGGTATTTTGAATGGCATTGCATTAAATCTTTATAACAGTTTTGAGAGTGTGGCCATTTTCACAATGTTGGTTCTTCTTAACTGAAAGCAAGTGATATCTTCCCATTTTAACATATTCTTGTCAATCTCTTTTTAGTGTAGTATAATTTTCAGCATAAGTTGAGTACATCAACATTCAATGGATAAATATTCATTCTCGTTAGCTCTTCTTATTGAATTACTCTCTTTATCAGTACATATTGTCATGTTTGCCCCTTCTGACCAATTTTTGGCTTAAAGTTTCCTGTGTCATAATATGACAGCTACTTCTGCTTGCTTTCAGGTTCTATTTGCTTCAAGTATTGTTTTCTATCCTTCCATCTTTAGTCTTTGAGCTTCCTTTTAGATGAAATGTGTTTCCCTAGTCAACATATGGTTGCATTTTGTTTTTAGATCCAGTCTGTTAATTTGTGTCTTTTGATTGGATAGTTAACACTGAAATGATTTTGCCCTAGATAGGACATTACAGCAGTGGGAGGCGGGACCAAGGGACTTTACCTTGAGGTCCCTTTCCCCGCCCCTAGGCAACTTACCTATGGGATGAAAAGAGTTCCAATCAGCTACTTGTGCATCAGGGATGCCACCTTTAGGCACCATCCCAGACAAAAGCTATATATACGCCCCCCACACCATGCATCCAGCAGAGAAAGCCAGACCCTGGCAGTCATAGTGTTTCTCTCCTCATCCTCAGAATAAAGGCCAGTTTAATTTAAATTCTTTTACTGCACTGAAAATCCTATCATTTGGTTCCTTAACCAGGAAAGGCAGAGTGAGTGGCTCCTGGGAATCCCTCCCAGTTTGAGTCCCCTTGCCTGAGAATCCTCTGTTTTACCAGCGAAACTACCTTTTTCTTCCTCCAGGACTGTTTACTTGCCACAGCTAATCTGCATACAACAGCAACCTTCCTCATTCCAAAAAGGAGAGCTGCCATCCGGGGTTTCTTGTTTCAGCTCCTTAGCAAGCTTGCAACAGAAAACTGATCCTGCTGTCTGGAACAGGGATACCAGTTTGTATGGCCACATGACTTGAGGCAATACTGACATTTTTGTTTGCTGGCACCCTGCCCTGCACTCTTTGGTATCCAGACCAAGAAGATGGGTGTTGAAATGTTCCATGTCACACTCATAAAATACATGACGGTCTTTTTTGTTATGTGTTGACACAGCACAGCTTTCACGTTCCTTGGGGGGAGCTACAGCTCTTAATTCCCAAGGCAAACTTGTTCTCTCAGGTCACTTATAATTTGGTAATGGGGACCACTTCCCATCCCCCAAAAAGCACACCTCTGGGGTGCCTGGTTCATACCTTGTTGCTCTTGGCCTCTAAAATGCAACCAAAAACCAAAAAGCTGATCTTTTATTATGGGGAAGAAACTCTTCATCTTTAGGCCTTTTTCCCTTTAAGGATGTCTTTCTCTAACTGTGTCTTCTGTGATGGCCCAGATACTTCTGTCTCACTCTGCTTCTCCAGGATCTCTTCCGCTCCCCACACTTAGGATGTGGCTCCTGTCTTTACAGCTTCTCCTTTGTATCTCACATACCAAATCCTGTTGCCTTCTCAGCTAAAGGCTGAGACCCCCGCATCATCCTCTCCTCGCCTTTCACCCACTAGGCTCTCTAATTCTTCCCCTAGCATTTTTCCCAATCTCCAATTTCTCAATCCCTCCCACCTGAGCCTTCTGTCCCATCTGACGCTTCTTTGTCTTTTTCCCCTGTGTTGCCATTTTTTCCGTCAGCTCACCATAGTCAGTCTCAGGCATTCCAAACTTCTAGCAGGACACATGGTTGCCAGCAGCCATGTTGTACCCACACATGCCTGCCAGATAGATATCTACTCCTGCTTTCAGGAACAGGCTGGCCCCAAAGATTACATTCCTTTTTAACTTTCTGAGCTATCTCAGATTGGCCATCAATTAGATTCCTTTTCTGGTATTCTTTTTTCAAGAGATCTCTATTAATTGATCTACAAGTAGGTTCACACTAGTCTATTTATTATAGATCAAAATGGCCAAATACATTTGAGTGCACTCTAAACTTAAAACATGTTTCTCAGTCCATATATTTGTTGTCTGTTTGCCCATTTGCCTATTCTGTAAACAGCTGTTTCTTTTTATTTGAGCTCAACAATTTTTCTCCCCCTTTATATTTTCAGATCATTTAATCAAGTTTCATTTGGGTTATAGATTTAAAAAAACATGCTTCCACCTGGTGGAAGCTTTTCAAAATGATGCTAAAATTGGTTAAACAAAATCCATTCGGGTGAGGAGACATTGGAAAGGACTTCAACTGATAAACAAGAAAGTGACTACCTGGTAATTTTGACCAGCTCTTGTTCATTAATTGGAGGCCCAATAATCTCCATAGCCTCTGGGGGACACCTCAACTAAAGTTCATATGACTAAGACAATTCATTGTTGCTGATCTGATGTTATATTCATGTCTTCACATATAAAATTGGGATTGTTTCTGCTGCCTTTTTCTTGTGTTCCAGCCAGGCGATTCAGATCAGACCAATATGAGGTCATTAGTTAAATAATGATTTTTGAACAAAAATTTATGTAATGTATGCTGACAATTGTTTTCTTTCAGATACAGACATATGCTTAGAGATGCTTCACAAATTTCTTCAGTGCTCAAATGTTAAAACACCCATGGTTAATAGCCATTTAATGTTCTATGTTAAGCTTATTGTAAGTACTGCACTGTACTGTTATCAATCTACTGAATGTGCAACAACTAAAATTAAGAGATAATTATAAATTCCTTTTGGATTCCTTTTGCTGGAATCCACCAGATCTTTTCCAGAAAAAAAGGTTAGATGATGCATGCAGAGCAATGAGACCAGCTCTGGGGCAGGGGCCAGGTCTGAGCCTTTCCCTGCCCAACTGCCATCCCTGGCTCAGTCCTCTGCTGACCAATGGGTGCTGGGCATATTGGAGCCATAATTAATTATACTCAACTGCTGTTAAATGACACCATAGCTGATCTCTCTCCTAAATAAAAAGCTAAAATTATTAAAACAGGCCATTCTCCAAAAATCAGATTGCATTAGACATTATAACAGCAGAAGAAGTACTTATGCAGTTGTAAAACCTAAATGTATATATGACAAATGAATGACATGCCTGTTTCTAAAATTCCCTGGACCTTTTCCTCCTTATGGAAAGCCATTGCTAAAGTTATAATCATAAATAACCAATTAATTGTATTATGTGACTCTTGCATAATTAACTTATTCTTTGCCTTTGTCTCCTTTAGACTTGTACATCTGGACAAGCTGAATAAGCTGTACACCTACCCAAGATAAAAACCAGATGTCTTATGACTGTGGAAGAGGCAGATATCTTCCAATGTGGCCCAGTTACAAAACAAAAGGCTAAATATCACCCTCAAATCCCACAGGGAGACCTTCTTAATATGGCTTTTCATGTTTTTAACAACAGAGATAAAAATCAAAAGAAAAAATAACAACCTGATCTTTTAGCAGTGATAGTTGGAGCTCTGAGACAGGTAAACCAAAACAAGGTAGAGCTGCCTGAGCCCCTCCTGGATCATTCTTCAATGCAGCCAAGAAGGACATTGGGCAAGAGAATGCCCCAATCCTGGTGTTCCTTTGGGGCCTTGCCCCAAATGCAATCTCAAGGGCCACTGGAATAGTGACTGTCCTAGCCGCCAGAGAGTGGGTAAGCCATCCTCTAACTCCTTGCCCTCACAGGAGGCTCCATCATTGCCAGATTCTACACTGTCTGATCTGCTTGGACTTGCTGCTGAAGACTGATAGGGCTCGGGAGCCACAGCCCCCGTTAAGATGTCCTTCTCAGAGCCCCAAGTCCCACTAGAGGTCTCAGGTAAGACATTCTCTATATTTGTGGACATAGAAGCCATGTATAGTGTTCTTCCTGAGTTTTCAGGCCACTATATTAAGTCTTCAATCTCTGTAGTGAGTGTTGACAGCCAACCTATGCAGCCTTTGCAGACAGGGCCTATTTCATGCAAGTTCCAGACTCATTTCTTCTCTGGTTGATCCTATAGTTTGAAATACCTCCAATCCCATCTGCACTACCCATAACATGCCTATTTTAATTCACCTCAAGGATCCTTCAAGTTTTCCTTGTGTTCCCCAATATCCCATAGCTTCCAAATATTTACAGGGACTTAAACCTATAATTAAGTGCCTTTCATACAATGGTTTTCTTAAACCTACCCATTCACCCTATAATATTCCCATTCTCCCAGTATTCAAGACTGGGTCTTACTATCTGGTGCAAGACCTCAGGGTAATCAATAGTGCTGTTACCCCAATTCACCCAGTGGTGCCAAACCCTTATACCATGCTCTCTCATATCCCTCCCTCCACCACTCATCTACTTTACAGTCATAGATCTTACAAATGCCTTTTTTAGTCCTTTGAGTTTATGCAGACTGACACAGACACTCTGAGGTCTCCACAACTTACTCCTGTTATCTCTAGTAAACCCTCTCCTCAGGAAAATGTAGCACCCCCTTCCTTTCCTATTTATCAATTTCTTAGATACAACCCTGGTCATGACTGGCAGGTAGATTTTATACACATGCCCTGCCACAAAACTCTCAAATATTTTCTCCCCTTTATTTGTACTTTTTCAGGAAACATAAAAACCATTAGCACAACAAGGGAGATTGATTATATACTTACTAAAGTCCTATTACAGGAAATCATCCCAAGGACTACAACCAAGGTGGAGCGGCCCCTACGTGATCTTCTTGACAACCCCAACAGTGGTCAAAGTTGCTGGACTGGCATCCTGCTTCCACACCACTCAAGCAGTGCCCATACATCCCTAAATTTAACCATCCCATTGTGCACTTTTCTCCATCTTACCACGGCCTCACAGCCACAACTCTCAGGCTAAGTCATGTTTTGTTATCCAATTTGGTTCCTAATTTCTTACATTCTATTGATTATCCTTTTTACAGCAGGTCTTTTAACAGTCTTTCCTAAAGACTCCCACATCAGGTGTAAGACCGTCTTCATGTTATTCTATGTGACAGCTCTTTTAGTTCTCTCTACCCTCAGCTTTTTAGTCAAATGTGAGATCCTTAAAGGCTTAGGCTCTTACCTCCCTTATAGTGACACAGCTACAGCCATCACCTCCTCTCTTATACTTTCCAGCTTAACTTCTGGACCGGAGATAAGCCTTACTTACCTACACTTTTATTAACTTTTATCCTTTCATATGGGGGAATAATCAATGGCACCTTTCCTTCTACTTCACCTGGGTCCTTAAATATGATAGTGTCCTGCCTCCTCATAGCACCTTGTCTCTTTTTTTCCCAGTCTAATGCATGGGCATTCACCCAGGATAAAGTTGTCCTGGTTGAAACAGCTAGCGCTAGCTTCTACATGGGCATCAATCACCATCCCGTCAACCTCCCTAAACCCCAATAGGATGCCCCCTTTCAGCAGGAAGTAATAAGAGAGAGAGAGAGAGAGAGAGAGAGAGAGAGAGAGAGAGAGAGACTTTGCCCTTTTTCTAACAATAAAAAGATGGGAATGAAAGGATTTTGCCCTAGATAGGACATTACAGCAGTGGGAGGCGGGACCAAGGGACTTTACTTTGAGGTCATTTTCCCTGCCCCTAGGCAACTTACCTGTGGCAGGAAAAGAGTTCCAATCAGCTACTCATGCATCAGTAATGCCACCTTTTGGCAGCACTCCAGACAAAAGCTATATGTATGCCCCCCACACCGCGTGTCCAGCAGAGAAATCCAGACCCCAACAGTCATGGAATTTCTCTCCATGTTCTTAGAATAAAGGTCATTTTTACTTTATGTTCTCTCTTTTACCGTGCCAGAAATCCTATCAAACACCACTGACAATGGGTGTGACTGTTACAAACCATTTACTGAATCTTATTATTTCATTATTTTTCCAGTGCAGAGTCATTGTATGTGTGAGTTTGTGTGTATGTGTGTGTGTGTGTGTGTGTGTGTGTGTGTGTGCTTGTGCATGTGTGTGTCTTTTTACTATGCTCGCAGTTAAATGTATATTTTCTTTTGTGTTCTTTGGTGCTGGTGGCCTCCATGTCTGTATCTAGGATTTCCCAGGATAGTATCTGCAGTGTTGGTTTAGTGAGCATGTATTCTTTGGGATTTCATTGTTTTGGAAAACCTTTACTTCTTCATCAGTTTCTAAGGCTCATTTTTCAGGATATGAAAATCTAGATTGACTATTGTTTCTTTGCCCAAAACACTCCTAGCTTATTTAGGTTTTTTATATCTTCTTGGTTTAATTTTGGTAGGTCATACTTTGTTAGAAATTTGTCAGTCTCTTATAGATGTTCCAACTTATTGTCATATCATTTTTCAAAATATTTCTTAATGATCCTTTAGATTTCAGTAGTATTTGTTGCAATAACCCCATTCACACTTCTAATCTGAACACATGCCCAGGATGATTGAGATACCTGTCCCAAATTCAGTACCACTCAGAAAAAATAAAAAAGTGAGAATAAAGAACTGCCATGTACAAACACATCAGCTATGGATATATGGTAATAACTAGCTAAAACAATTATGACTGCATCACCAACAACAGTAGAAAAGAAAGAAATAAAAACTATATAATGAACTAAAAAGTTAACAATGAGTATTCTAACTACACAAGTGTAATTTTAAAAGTCTTTTTTAAAAGGTAAATATTTCTGTCAAGAAGTAGGTCAGTCATGTTTCTAAAGATAACTTCCTCAAACTACCCCAATCAGGTCTTTTTAACCTGGCCTCTTTGGCCATTGCTTTGTGGAGAAAACATAGGCTGTGTGTTCTTTGCTGTTTTTTTTTTTCCTCCTTTTTATTGCATCCCTGGGAACAATACCAAGTCATTTGTGAGCAGAGCTGGTTATAAAACACTTTGTTACTCCTCTTTGCAGTAGTGGTGGGAGCAGAAGCAAAATTTCCTCCTGCAGTCTTTTACTCTATTTATTTTGCATATTCATATGCCTTTCACAGCCTGTAAACTTGCATCTAGAAATTTTGGGGGTCTCAGTATCCTCACTGAACCAAATGGGATGAAAGCAGTAGAATCCACATACATTGCAATCTTTTCAGCTATGATATTCCAAATTTCCCTCCTGTTTGTCAGTTTCCCAAGTTGAAATCTGTCAGTTTCCTCCACTGCCAAGACAAGTCTCAAGGCCAACATATGCTGGATGAATGTATTGTTTTTGTTGCTGATTCCCAGAGAGGAACAATGTAGGAAATGGTCAGCTCAAAGTAGGAGATTCAGACAAGAACTCCCTACACCATGGTTGTGTGGTGGGAAGCAGGAAGTATGTCCTCAGCTCCTGTACATTATGCAAATTCCTGATCCACTGTCTGTGTAGAATGCACTTCAACACAGTGATAAGGTCTGTGCTAGCTATGTTTTCATGTTAGTCCCACTTTTTCCTGTCATGTCCACACATGCTTATAGATCCACAGAAGTCATCCAGCCTTGGGGCTCCATTGCTCACACTGTTCCACAACCCTCAGATTGTTTTTCAAGTTTCTCCTGATACCTGAGCTTCAGTACCTTCTCTGAGTCACACAGTTTTTTTTTTTTTTTTTTTTTTTTATCGGTACCAAGGATCAAACTCATGACTGCCTGCTTACAAGGCAGATACTTATGCTGCTGAGCTAAATCCCCAGCCCCAAGTCACACATTTCAAAGATTAAGGGCTCTCCAGGTGTTTGCATCCTGTACCTGTAGAGAAGCTGCTGGTTAATGAATGCTTCAAGCCAACTATCTTTGAACCCCCTTAAAATGAAATTATTTATTCCTTTTCTGTCACTGAGGATTTAAGCCAAGGTCTTGTATATTTTAGGCAAGCTTTCTACTGCTTAACTGTGTATTTTATATATTTATAACTGTAAGAGAAAAGATATCACTGTATCATTTGAACCTCTGAAGTATAAAACTGTGTATGTTCACTGCCATGGAAGTTGAGAATTTACTTTAGCTAAAACTCTAGTCAAATGTAGTATGTCCCCACACTGATTTCTCCAGTTATATGTGTGACTCTGCTACCTGTGTGGCACCCATTGGTCCAGAACCTGAGCTCAAAGTTCTCATTAGAAGAAATCTTAGCTTTCCTAGCAGTTTGCTTTGCTTTCCTTTCAGTTTTTAAATGAAGAATACCTTAATCTTTGATTTAATTTGTAAAGCAGCCAAATAAAGTTCACTACTTACATTTTTCCAGTGACTCTGGCCCAATCATATGAAGTGCTTATCTAAATGGAAAAATTTGATTATTATTCCATATTCCTTATGTTAATATAAATGATATGTAAAATAGTTACTACTAATTGAAGCTTTTTGCTTTCTTTTTCCATTTTTTCCTTTTGAAAAGATAATTGGCACAATCACATTATGGCTGATTATAAATGGCATTTTCCATTTGCTAAGAATAATTTTACTGAAACACAGAATATGTAAATTAGATATGGATTTTGAAGTATTTCAATTGCTTTGTAAAATTTGAATTCATGCTAAGTACATGGTATTGTTTTGTTATGGGATAGGGCAAGATAAATAGTGAATGACTTATGTTTTTCTTACATAGGGAATATATATATATATATGCACAGTGGTAAAAATGTATCCTTTTTACTCTTTTAACTGTAGGGCTTAGTTGTACCAAGTATATTAGTATTGTGTAAAAATTGCCATTGTCTCCAGAAATGCTTTTTGTCTTTTGAAATGAATCTCCATTCCCTTTAAAGCACAACCCTCCATATCTTTCCTCCAAATATCTGGCTAACACGATTTTACTTTGTGTCTCAACTGAACTGCTCTAGGACTGTCATGATTTATGCCTGTGGCCTCAAGGCCTCATACATTTACATTGTGCATTGGTGATTGGTTCATTGTCTACTGCTTGGATTGATGGTGTCAGTGCTATACCCACATAGGAGCGGAGCCAGGATGTAACGTAATGGCAGGAAGAAGGTGTGTCTTGCTGTCTTGCTAGTTCCAGCTTGTCATTTGCAGTGGCCGTGAGCTGCGGTCCTGCCATGTCACCCTGCATTGGAGCACACTGAGTATGGACTGAAATCTCCAAAAACTGTGATAAATAAAGCTTCCCTTTCCCAACTTGGTGCATCAGGAATTTTTTCTCAGTGACAAGTAAAAAGTAACTAAGACAGAATTTGGTACCAGCAGTGGGGTCATTTGCTGTGACTATACCTGAGCATGTTTTTCAAGAGGCTTTGGAAATGGTTAGAGATAAGAAAGATGACCCCAGGGCATCCCAGGAAGCAGCAGGTCTCCATACTTTGTAGCCTCAAAACTGCAAAAGTAAAAGAATTTTCTTAGAGGAGAAAGTTGCAGAGCACCATGCTCCAGTATGGCGATGGAGGCCACATGAGGTTCCAGAATGTCAACAACATAGAGAAGCTTTTCTTCACAATCAGATTCACAAAGCCCAAGGATCTAGGCAATTGACCCCTTCAGCTAAGAGAGAGAAAAACCTGGCAACTGCTCCAGCTGGCAGCAAACTTTGGTGGCATCCACATGATGCTGATTTTAGGTGCAAAGAAAACACATAAATTCTGAGGGTAAGATGGCTTCCACCTGTATTGCAAAGGGTCTGGGAGGTCAACCAGTGTGCTCCTGAGAGGGCAATTTTTAAAGATGTAAGGTTAAGCCAAAGGTGCAGTGGAGACCTCAGAATTTGGAAAAGCTAAAAATGTGGATCATCCAAGGAAAGCTGCAAAAAGTGAGCAGAGCGGGTTTAAGAGAAAAACTGCATGAGCTGAAATCACTGGAAGTGCCATGGGAGTGGAATCACCCAAGCCTTTTGGAGCTTGCAATCAGATTGCTTGAAATGTTGAGCATGGAAATCTAGGACTTAATGTTTGACCTGCTGGATGTTGGACTTGCTTTGTTTCCAATGCTTTATATTCCCCAGTTTATAAATTGTGGAATGGTAGTTTATCTTGTGCCTTTGCATTTCAGAAATGGTTAACCATGTTTCATTTGTACAGGCTGTTACAGTTAGGAGTTTGCCAGAGATCTTGGAGGAGACCTTGGACTTGGACTCTTCAGGATTGCTGACACTGTTAGGACTTTGGAAACTCTTGGAGATGGACTAAATGTCTTTTGTATAAAAGATGTAGATGAGTCCTTGGGGCCAAGGGTAGAATGTCATGGTTTAGATCTGTGGTCCCCAGGCGTCATGTGTTAGTATTGTGTGTTTGTGATTGGTTCATTGTCTAGTGCTTGGATTGATGGTGTTAGTGCTACACCCACATAGGGGTGGAGCCAGAATGTAATGTAATGGCAAGAAGAAGGTGTGTCTCACTCTCTTGGCGTTTTCAGCTTGCCATTTGCAGTGGCCATGAGCTGTGGCACTGCCATGCCACCTGCCTTGGAGCCAATTGAGTATGGACTGAAACCTCCAAAAACTGTAAAAAAATAAATCTTTCCTTTCCCAACTTGGTGCATTAGGAATTTTGTCTCAGCGACAAGTAAAAAGTGACTAAGGCAAGGACTTTCATATTTGTGAAGTCATAAGTATTTGGCTGTTGGTCACTAATTTGTTTCCACTGTGTCATTTCTTCAGGGTTCACCCTAGTTGTAATATATGTCACTACTTCCTTATTTTACAAGACTGAATTACTGTCACTACAATAGTGTATACATGCATTTTATTTCTCCACTCACTTATTGAAGAAAATTTTCGTTTCATCTACTTTTTGGTTATTGGAAACATTGCAGCTCTAAGTGTACTGAAGTGAAAAATAGGTAAGTAAATGTAGATCTGGATTTTTAAGAAATTTTGTTGCTTTGTTTAAAGTTAAAAAATCCAATAAGAATTTGAATTTATGATAAGCACAGGATACATGTTACTGTTTTATTATAGGATAAGATGAATTGAAAACTGAATAAAGCTAATCTTTCTTAGACATGTCAATGTATATATAGGAGTAAACTACACATGGTGAAAAATTTGCCTTTTTACCTTTTTAAGTATACAGCTGAGTCATAACAAGTACATTGTCATTGTGTAACTATCTGACACCAAGCTGTTTTTCATATTCTGAAAGGTAATCTCCATACCCATTAAAAAACAACTCATATCCATTCCTCTAATAGTTGGCTAACACTATTTTACATTATGTCTCTGAATCTACCTATTCTATGACTTTCATATACATGGAGCTGCAAGTTTTGTTCTCCTAATCACTGATTTGTTTCCGTTAGCATAATGTTCTCAAAGCTCATTCAAATTGTGTGTTACAATTTACTTCATAAGGCTGAATAATCATCCATTCTAAATATCTCTATACACATAAAGATATACACAGAACATCATTTATCCACTCATTCATGGAAGAAAATTTACCTTCCATCTATTTTTTGACTGTTGTGAACAGTGATACCTAGAGTATGCAAGTACGCTTTCAGTGCTTTGCAGTAGATACCCAGAAGTAAAATTACTGGCTCACATGATAATGGTGTGAATGTTTTGAGGAATTGCCCTAGGTCTCTTCCATAGCACCTATATACAATATTTTGAACTCTTACCAGAAGTTCACAAGAGTTCTGGTTTCTCCATACCATCACTAATGATTGATACTTTTTACTTGTTTCAATAATTGATCTGCTGCATCTTTGGAGCAATATCTGTTCAATTCCACTGCTCCCTTTAAAATTGAATTATATGAGTTTGGTGTTACATTTTTATACTCATGGGACATTGATCCTTATTAAATATATGATTTGCATATATTTTACCCTTCTCTGTAGATTGTGTTTCCAATCTGTTAACAGTGCTTTCTGTGCATAAATATCTTTAATTTTGATGTAGTCAGTTTTATCTGATTTTTGTTTTGCTGTTAACCAATTTGCTAGATGTGTTTTATTTAACATTGAGCAATAGCATAAGTGAGTAGGAATCAGTTTTTTTTATTGTTATATGGGTAACACATTAGTATTGTGATTCTGACCTCTTGTCATTCATAATGTTCACATGAAAATCTAAAGCCTTTGAGACTTTATTTAGCTTCCATTTCTCTGTGCATAATCTAGCAAAGATACTTTGCATTTTTATAGTTAAATTGAAGTTCACAGCATTTGTATGACCTGTATATGCTCAGGATGCCAGCAAAATACTTAAAACAGATTCTTCAACCACAGAAGTTAATTTTCCTCATTCCTGGAGCCAGGAATCTGTGGTCAGATTTTCAATCCAGCAGAGTCAGGCTCCTGTTTGGGTCCCAACCTGGCTGGCAGATGGCCACCTTCTCTTTGTTCCCACCTGTGGCAGAACATCTTTCATTGTTTCTTCTCATTTTAAAGACATAAACTCCATCTGAAGACTGCACTATGAAGAATTTTTTCTACTTTAGTACATCTCAAAGCAGTGATGGTGAACCTTTTAGAGAACGAGAGCCTAAGCTGCAAACCAGAACCCACTTATTTATTGCAAAGTGCCAACACTGTAATTGAGATTTTACTTCAGAAAAACAACTCATGACACCATGATGGACAGGGCTCTATATGCCTGCCGTGGCACAGCTGCCATAGGTTCACCAGCACTGTCTCAAAGGATGTATTCTCCAAATACAATAGCATTGAGGATTCATATTCAGCACGTGAATTTAGCAGAACACAGTTCGTACACAGAAGCCTAAGATCATGAATTTCAAAATGTGCTGTAATATGAGCTCACATAGGACACACATGGAAACAGAGATGGGGATAAGACTTCACAGAGTCATGCTTCCCATTCGCATTTAACAAAAACAATTCTACTTTTGTTATTTTATTTTAAAAATCTGCTTAGTGTTATACCATCTGTTGAAATAGGTAGAAGGCAGACTTACAAATGTTGAACTCACTGCACTGGTGCTTTTGTCCCTGCAGAGCTACAGTGCTTTTCTTCCTGATGGTCTGCTAGTGTTTCAGCAGTGTGTCAGCCATGGATATGTTTATGGTTGAGAAGAAGATTTTTGTGTAAGTTCCTGCTGCAAGGAACATCAATGGCTGTTGGTATAATTAATCACATCCAGCATTTGTCTAAGGATGGAGTTCTATGAATCACAATTATTTTCCTCTTTTTTATTTTTACATTGACAAATAAAAATTGTATAGATTATTGTACATGCTGTGAGCTTTTGAAGTACAGATAGAGATTACAAACATTAATTGATAAAAAGCAGTCATGTATGGCATGGAAACTTAAGAGTGTCTGAGATCTGCTACCAAAAGAAAGGAGTTTAAGGTTAAGGATTTGATTAGAAAATCTCATTAGAGGATAGAAAAGCAGCAGGAAAGGGAATGAAAGGAATATTTTGGCCTTAGCAAATAATTGATTATGACAAAGGCAAGAAAAGTTTGAGAGGCCTGGTGGACATTAATTGGTAAACTAAGCTACAAAATGGAGGTGAGATATAAAGTCAAACATCGTGATCAAATTTATCCCTCAAATGATGGAGGGGTGGGAAACACAGCTTTACAGTAATAAGAAGGTTGGTTTTGATTCTCATAGTCCTCAAGAATGGAAGCTATTCACCCATGCAGTATTTACATCCAAGGAAAGGAGTCATCAGAAAGGTAGCAAAGAAAGCACTGGAATAGGTTTGGGATTATGGCAGGATAATGTCAGAAGGGGAGGATTAGGGTGTAGTGGTTCACAAGATTATGCATTATATGTGTTATCAGAAGACTTTTTCTTTCATGTGAAATTAGAATCAGTAAAAAGAATTTAATGGCCTACAGCTATTTGAGATCCTGCCAAGTTACCTCACCTTCTTCAAATTCAGAAGTGGGGAGAAGAAAAGTCCAATGGTCACTGAGATTAGCCCCTGAAATGCTTCTCTTTACAGAGAGTCAATATTAGAAGAGTTTCCAGGTTAGGACTTTTCTCAGTCTCTGGAAAAATTGAATAGAAGAATCTGTGCATCTCTGCTCATGTGGGCAGCAGCAAGAGGGAGGTTTTAGGGAGAGCAGGTCACAGTGAGAACCTCCTTAGGTTGTTATCCAAGGGTGCTGGCACCTGTGAGAGTGAAGTGTGGGTGATGGCCAACCTGGAGCATGTGGAGAATTGGGCCTCTGTTAGCCACAAAACTCCCAAACTGGGGTATTGGGCCTCTGTTAGCCACAAAAGTCTGTGCAGCCAGTGTCTCTGCCCTCTGAAAGTAGTCTAGGACTTATGATATGTATGTGTTTGTCTTTCTATAGGCACAAGTATAACAATGGATACTATGAACTATCATTCTATTTCCTGGGAAAACTGTTAGCTGAGTGGCTACCCATGAGACTCCTGCCAAGTATTATTTACCTGTACTCTGTACTTTGTGACTGGTAAGTAACAAAACAAAGAGGTTGTCTTTAATCTTGGATCTGAGGTAAAGCAAGTTCTCTCTGCAAGCACTTTTCCAGTTTTACCAACCAAGTCATGAACTGGGAAAATATGAATGCACTGTACATTCTAAAGTAGTGGTGCAATGTGAACATTTTTCTCAATACTTGTTTTTAGTTAATTTAAAGGTATTTGTAAGCTATCTTTCAGGGAGAGATATTTTGTATCATGTATAAATATGCAATAAATCAAAATTATGCTGGGAACTCTGCTGGAGGAGCTGGGATATTAACTTTTTCTTTATATCTCTCTACATACATATCTATATAGAAGTAAAATACAGATAGTTAAGAAATAGGGCTGCTAGGTATCTATGTCTATATCTATAACCATATCTAAATACATATAGAGATAAAAGATACATATTCTCCATCTTGCCATTCTCAAATAAGGAAAAGATGATGATTTATTGTTTATTGACTTAATATACGTGCTTGTTTGATACATGCAGACAGATTTATATTATGGTTAGACTTCACCCATCACTTGCTGACAAACTTATGCAAACCAGAAATTCTATTTATAGCACACACTACAGTGTAACAACAGTAATAGACCTTGAACCTTCTATTGTACAAAGCAAAGTTGTGTCGTGTTAGTTGTGGGGGGTCTGGGAGACTGCTCAGTGGTTGAGCACTTGTGCAGAAAATGTGGGCAAGACCTTTTGTTTACTCTCTAGCACTGGGAAAAAAAGATTTAAGAATGGAATCTAGGATCCAGACTCCTGTTCAGGGTTCCACATATGTCCCCAAATTTTTATCTATGTAATTTTTCATATCTCCTCATCACAGTTACAAAATATTTTATGATACTGAATAAAATTCTCCTATATATGGAGAGTTTCCCAGTGCTTTGACTATGGGCCCTTAGATTGTGGAGGCCCCTCCCTCCTTCAGGTATTAAAAACCCTGGGAAGTCATGGTGTGTTGACTCCAAGTTCCTCACCAGTGCAGTGAACACTGAGTGCTCTGGAAATGTGTGGACAGATGATTGGCTGATGCTGAGTTTACTGTGAGAGGGCAAGTAGTTGGGTTCTAACGAACTATGTTACCTGGAGCTCTCTGTCTCAAGAACTCAGAAATTGTTCATATTCATATACACAGAGCACAGGTGTTGGATGGGAATGTGCTCTTACTTTCATTGTTAAAAAGAAAACTGTGATGACTGTGTGTAGTTATGTGGAGTAGAAGTAAAATTGCTAGGTCAGGATAGTTGCTTAATGGGGACATTCCTTTTGTTCTACAAGTATTTTCTCAGAATATTATAGTGTTAATAAATAATCCCCAATACATGGTGAATTAGTTGATAAACTAACCCCTTGTGTTCTTTCCAAGGTTCAAAACCAGCAGCTGAAACTTTCTTCATCATGCTGTTTACACTTGTGTTGACGTCTTGTCCAGTCAGTTCCATTGCACTGGCCATAGCAGCAGGTCAGAGGATAGTCTCCAAAGCAACCCATATTCTGGACATCTATTTTCAATTCATGATGGTGAGTATAAATAGAGCTACTCTGACAGAGAATTTTCTTGCTCTTTCCTGAACATTCACCTATCCCATGAAACCTTGTGGGGGATGAGGTGTCACTTTGTAGGCCCAACCCCCTCTAACCTGCAATTTACAATAGCCCCCCTGGTATGCGAGACCGAGGTAGAATAGGAATGCCTGTTCTTAGTGAGATCTCTCACCCTCTGGAATCCATACTGTGAGCTGGCTTTGTTTTGCAGAAGTCTTGAGGAAGTGGCTGGCCACCCTTTGTGACACTAACAGCAGACAAATTAACAACATTCTTGAGCTAATGAATTTCTTCCTGGGCTAGAGAAGTTAGGAAAACTGGTTGTGGTTATTTACTTCACTTAGATAGTTTAGAATAAACATTGTAGTCTGTCACGTTGTAGCTTGCCACAAAGAATGCCTTTTCACTACTTAATTATCTGGGCTCTGTGAACTGATCCAGTTTACTATATATGAATCTTAAAATAAAGATTGTGCATGCAGTGCAGTGTAATGCGGTGCAGGCAGTAAAGGTGCCGTGTCTCTCCTGTCTTCCTTTCCGAGCACTGTACCCCCCGTGTCCCGATCAGGCGTGTTTGCGTGTTTACCTTTCCCGGAGTTCAGAGTGCCCTAGACACTCATGACAAGTGGCGCCCGAACAGGGACTCCGAAGGTTGCTTAGGAAGGTAAGTATAATTTTATTATGGGGATATGGGACAATCTGCTTCTTCTTCTTTCTTAAAAATTCTTAAACATTTATTATCTATATATGGCATATCGCTCAGGTCAGCTGACTTGGATATGTGTATTGATACAATTAAAGAATATAATCCTTGGTTTCCAGATGAAGGAACTTTGGATGTAGAAGTATGGAGGAAGGCAAGGGTTAGTATAGAAAGGGCTATGCAACAGGAGGAGAAGATTCCTTTATGTTTTTGGGCTATTTGGTCGGTTGTGTACTCTTTATTAAAAGCTATGGAAGATGAACATATTGTAGAAAATCTTCAACTAGAAATTAAGCCAGTTATTCAGGAATTGCCCCTCACAGAGGAGGAGCAGAATGTAGTTCAAAATGACGCTATCGCTTTAAGTAGTGAAAAGGCGTCCAAACCAAAAGTAAAATCCGCTGCAGTCGACTCAGCTTTAGCTGCCGCAGCAATATCAAATTATGACAATCGCCCAATTTTACAGGCTATACAGCATTTAACACAAGAGGTGAAACAACTCTCCGTTAAGCAGAACCCGCCTGTAGCTCCCTCTGCACCTCCTCCATCTAACCCTAATTGGAGTAAAGCCAAACTAGCTTTGGCTGATCTACCAAAATTAGGGGATTCTGACGAGGAAAAGCCTGCCTTTGCTTTCCCTGTAATCAGGCCGCAGCCAGTAGATGGAGCGGCAGTTCCCCCTAGATGGGAAGCATTTAATATGGATGATTTAGCAAAATTAAAAAAAGCTGTAACCCTTTATGGCCCTCAGGCTCATTACACTAGAGAATTAATAACGTCGGTAGCAGATCAGTATGGTAATCTTGCTCCATATGATTGGAAAGCCTTGGCCAAAATTCTTTTAAAAGAGCCAGAATATTTACAGTGGCACATGTGGTTTATGGAAGGTTGTGCGAAAAAGGCAAAGCAAAATGCTGACGATCGAGATCCTAATATTAGACTCATTTCTTATCCCATGCTCTCTGGTACAGGTTTCTTTGATACTGGTGAGCATCAGGCAGGAGCTCCAAGAGAGATTCATGCTCAATTAAAAAATATTGCTTTAGAAGCTTGGGATAAAATACGGCCTAAAGGATCAGAATATGGATCTTGGGCTAAAGTTCTGCAAGGAGCCAATAAACCGTATGTTGAGTTCATTGCAAGACTTCAAAATGTTATAGAAAAAACAGTAGTGGGACAAGACTTACAACAACATCTCTTAAAACTTTTAGCTTTTGAAAATGCTAATGATGAATGCAAAAGGGCTTTAATTCCAATAAAAGATACTGGAACGATTGACAGTTTTATAAAACAATGTAAAGATTTAAATTCAGAATCTAGGAAAATGCAACTGTTTGCTGAAACCATGGCAACCACGTGGACTAATTGGCAATCTAAAAAGGAACAGTCTTTAAAATGTTTTAATTGTGGTCAGACAGGACATGTAAAGAGGGCCTGTCCAAAACTTGTAGGCAATGATCAAAAAAAGAGATCTAGAGCTCCTGGCTTATGTCCAAAGTGCAGGAAGGGAAATCATTGGGCTCGTGAATGCAGGAGTAAACAAGTTAATTCAGCTGAACAGAAGGGAAATGGGAGAACGGGCCCTACCCCGGGCCCCGGACAAATCAATGGGGTAAATCTACCGTATTCTCCCTACAGCCAGCCACCCAACACAGCGCCGCAGTGGACATACCAGCCTTAAAAGATATAAAATTAAGAGGAGGAAAATCTCCCGTGAGAATTCCTACAGGAATTTTTGGTCCCCTGCCTGCAGGAACTTTTGGCTTGCTCACGGGTAGATCTAGTTTAAATCAAAAAGGCATTACTGTTCATTTAGGAATTATAGATGCAGATTATACTGGAGAAATTCAAATTCTGATGTCCTCACTTACAGATTATAAATTATTAAAGGGAGAACGTATAGCTCAACTCATTTTACTGCCTTATATCCCAATAGGATCCTCTGTTGTTCAGCGAACAGGAGGGTTCGGCAGCACTAACCCTATTAATGTAATGTGGACAGCTAAATTATCTCAACAACAACCTCTTATTAATATTTTTATTGAGCATAAGAAAATTCAGGCTCTTATAGATACAGGCTCGGATATTACTATTGTTAAACCTACTGATTGGCCTTCTCATATTACTTATACTATTATTCCATGTAATATAAAAGGAGTAAGTAAAACTCCAGTAAATACAATTGGACAAGCCACAATGCATATACATATAAAAAATGAAGAGGGTCAAGTTGCTGTTATTAAACCTTATATCTTAGAGGTGCCAGTTTCTATTTTAGGAAGAGATATATTAGAACAATGGGGAGCTCATATACATTTTTAATATTTTACATGTTTCTACAGCTTAGAGAAATAAATCCTTTAAAGCTTAATTAGAAAAACTATGACCCAATTTGGATAGATCAGTGGCCTTTGACTACTCAAAAGTTACAGGCAGCGCAGGAATTGATTGATCAACAACTTTCTCTACATCACATAGACCCATCAACATCTCCTTGGAATTCTCCAATATTTGTGATAAAAAAGAAATCAGGCAAGTGGAGACTTTTAACCGACTTACGTGCTGTAAATTCATCCTTATTTCAAATGGGAGCCCTTCAGCCCGGCATTCCTTTACCCTCAGTGCTCCCTGCTGGTTGGTTTGTATATGTTATAGATTTACAAGATTGTTTCTTTAACATTCCACTACATCCAAAAGATAGAAAACGGTTTGCTTTTTCAGTTCCTCAAACAAATTATCAAAGACCTTATCAAAGATATCAATGGAGAACTTTACCCCAAGGAATGAAAAATTCCCCAACTATATGTCAAATTTATGTTGATACAGCATTAAAACCAGTGCGTGCACGATGGCCTCAGGTTTATACGGCTCATTTCATGGATGATATTTTATTCTCATATAGTGATAGAAATGTTTTAAAAGATATTTTAAAAACTTTACCTCAATATTTTTCTCCATTTGGACTTGTAATAGCACAGAATAAAATTCAAAAGGAAGAAGTTGATCATTATTTGGGATATATTCTTACTAGACAAAAGGTGATTCCACAGAAAATGTCTATTAGGAGAGATAAGTTATCCACTTTAAATGATTTTCAAAAATTATTAGGGGATATTAATTGGCTTCGTCCCACACTAGGTATTCCTACCCATGCATTACAGCATTTGTTTGCTACTCTACAGGGCTCTTCAGATCCATCCAGCCCTCGTTCTTTAACAGCAAAAGCAGAGCAAGAATTACAGTTTATAGAACAACGAATTAAGGATGCATTTTTAATTAGGATTGATCCTAAATTGCCTCTAACTTTATATATTATTAATACTTTTCAATATCCCTCTGCAGTTTTAGGTCAGAGTGCTATGCCAGTAAAATGGGTATTCACTAAAACTAAGCAATCTAAAAATGTCACACCGTATATCGATATGGTTGCAGCTTTAATTATGAATGGTAGAGCTCGTTCTATAACTTTGATAGGAAAAGATATAAACAATATAGTTATCCCTTTAACTAAGGAACAATGGGAATATTTGTTGTCAATTACTAAAACCTTACAAATTGCTTTAGCAGATTTCATGGGAACCTTTTCGTATCATTTTCCTAAAAGTAAATTATGAGATTTTTTTAGACGTCAACAATTTGTGGTTAATACTTTATTAGCTGTACAGCCAATTCCACAAGCTTTGACTATATTTACAGATGGATCTAAAAATAAAGCTGCATATTGGACTCAAAAATCTTATTGGGTACGTCAAACAAATTTTAACTCTGTACAACAAAATGAACTTTTTGCTATATTGCAAGTGTTTTTAGATTTTCCTAACCAACCTATTAATATTATAGCCGATTCAGCCTATTCTGTTAGAGTAGTGACAAATATCTATTCAGCTGTGTTATATTCTAATAAGCCTGCCTTACTGTCTTTATTTCAAAATTTACAAATACATGTTCAAAAAAGAAATCATTCTTATTTTATCACTCATTTACGTTCTCATTCTCAGTTACCTGGACCATTAGTATCAGGTAACAATACAGTAGATTCCTTAGTTATGTTCACTACACCCGTTGAAGAACATCAATTTAATCATGCAAATACAGGACATTTACATCTTAAATATAAGATACCTTTTACAAAAGCTAAACAGATTGTAAAAGCCTGCCCTATTTGTAGACCATTACATTTAAAAATTATTCCCACAGGTGTCAACCCTCGAGGAACTCAACCTAATGAGTTATGACAAATAGATATTACACATGTACCTTCTTTTGGTCGGCTTTCTTATGTACATGTAGTTATTGATACCTATTCTTCATTTCTATGGGCTACTGCTCAACAGGGAGAATCCACTAAAAATGTTATTGTACATTTATTGGAGACTTTTGCAGTTATGGGAATTCCTTCTAAAATCAAAACAGATAATGGACCTGCTTATACTAGCAGAACATTTAAACAATTTTGTGATCTTCATAATATTATTCATATTACAGGGATTAAATATAACCCCCAGGGTCAAGCTATTGTTAAAAGAGCACATGGCACTCTTAAGTTACAAATTAAAAAATTAAAAAGGAGGAGTCAGGAGGATATTCAGATACCAATACTGTTTAAATTGCAAAACAGTCCAAAAACATTACTGCATCAAGCATTGTTTATTTTAAATTTTCTCAATTTAACACAAGGTTAAATATTAACAAGAGCTGAAAGACATTTCGAACAGCAACAACAGCCCTATGTAATTAATGAACCTATTTGGACTAAAACAGCCCCAGAGGCTGAATGGGAGAAGGGCACACTGCTCTATAAGGGGAAAGGTTTTGGTTATATCTCCACAGAAAATGGAATTCAGCAGTGGGTCCCTGGACGATGGATCAGGATCCGCGCCTCCAGACCCTGTTCGCCAGTCCCGGAGACAACTCCCCCAGGAACCGGAACCGTGCCTTCAGAAGCGAGCGCGAAACCAGCTAGAGGCTGAGGATGCTGAGCTTGTTCCTGTCGCAGCCATGGCCAGATTACAGCTAAGAAATTCCCGCCGCTCACAGCGACCAAATTTAAATCCCCTCCCTACATGGGGACAAATAAAGAAATTGACCATAGAAGGGCAACGGCTTGTCCTTCAAGCAGGAAAGCCTTTAAACCCTGAAAACTTGTTTTTAGCTTTATGTGCCTTGCTCACCGTTGCATCGGGGACTGAGGTATCCCCACATTCTTACTGGGCATATATTCCAAATCCCCCTTTATTAGAACCTGTAAAATGTGGAACTAGTGATATTTTACTTTATACCACACCTAGAGAAATTTTGTCAGCACCGTGGGCTGATTTAACCCCCCACAATCAAGATGATGGGGCATTATTCAATTTTACTTATTATGGTAATCAAAGGCCTATTTGCATTGGAGAACCGCCTTGCATCCCTCTGGGATGGCAGTATTGGATTCAACATGGAATAAAAGCAGGCAACAAAAGGACAAGGCTTCAAGCCTTGGCTGCTCAAACCTTTAATGATACCTGGAGAAATTTAACAGCACCTGATACAGATACATTTCCTGTATGCCCTGATTTCACTTATAAGAATATTTCTTATTATCCCATAATTTGGCAACAGTGTATGGGAAAATTTGCTAAAAATATTGATGGGTATATTATTTGGGGACCATTTGGAAAATTCGTTAATGGATGTGCTGAATGGAATGAGACAAGATGTAATCTCTCTGTTGTGTATAGTCTTCCAGATCCAAAGAAAATAACTGACGGAGCTCCTATCTTGCCTCAAAAGACGCCTCTTTTGTGGTGGGGAGATGGTGGAATCGCTAACCCTGCTGTTGCAGCCGAAGAATACCCTCATCACCTTCAAAATCATATTTGGAAGATTCCAGCCGCTATGTAACCTGTAACCTTGTACAATGTTTCCTATTCAGGGACTAGTCGATCTGTATCTACTACTTATAATTTTACTAGGTTTAAAATGTATAATATTACTGTTTGTGCACCTCTGCTTTATGTCTTTTTAGTGGGAACTTTTAATTTTACACATTTTTCTTGTACTTGTTTAAATTGTCAATTGTTCACCTGTTTAAATAACACATTAAATTTCACTAAGCCTTATACAGTTATGCTGTTACAACAAAAAACTCATATTTGGTTGCCTGTAAATTTAACTCAACCATGGTCTCAAGACCCGGTAATTTCTGTTACTACTGAATTTTTTAAACATCTGTTAAAACGTACAAAAAGATTTATTAGAATAGTGGTTGCTGTACTGTTAAGTCTGATAACTGTAGCCTCCCTAGCAGCAGTCTCAGGAATAGCTTTACAAACCTCTTTGCAAAAAAAACATGTTGTAGAATTATGGCATGAAAATTCTCATGAACTTTGGTTAACTCAGTGGCAAATAAATGCCAAACTACTGCAGCAAATAGACCTCCTTAAACAAACAGTTAAATGGATGGGTAGAAAAATATTGGCTCTTCAGCATCAAGTGTTTTTAAAATGTGATTGGAATTCAACTACTTTCTGTATAACCCAACGACCTTATAATCAAACAGAACATGAATGGGAAGTGATTAGAATGTATCTAAATGGAAACACCTCTGCCCAGGAAGAAATAGAATCTTTGCATAATCAAATTGACAAGGGTTTTGCAAAGCAAAATGATGATGAATCCCTGGCACAATTCACGCAATTGCTTGCTCAATCTTTGAAAGGATTAGATTCCAAAGAAATCTGGCAGAGCATAACCCACACTTTAAATGGCATGGGGCTTAGTTTAATTATAGTTCTCATTGCCATAGTTCTTGTGTATTTTTATTGCATAAGACGAAATACTATTAATAACCTGATCTTATGGAAATTGTTGTTAAAAAATAAAAAGGAAGGAAGTGTGGGGGATGAGGTGTCACTTTGTAGGCCCAACCCCCTCTAACCTGCAATTTACAATAGCCCCCCTGGTATGCGAGACCGAGGTAGAATAGGAATGCCTGTTCTTAGTGAGATCTCTCACCCTCTGGAATCCATACTGTGAGCTGGCTTTGTTTTGCAGAAATCTTGAGGAAGTGGCTGGCCACCCTTTGTGACACTAACAGCAGACAAATTAACAACATTCTTGAGCTAATGAATTTCTTCCTGGGCTAGAGAAGTTAGGAAAACTGGTTGTGGTTATTTACTTCACTTAGATAGTTTAGAATAAACATTGTAGTCTGTCACGTTGTAGCTTGCCACAAAGAATGCCTTTTCACTACTTAATTATCTGGGCTCTGTGAACTGATCCAGTTTACTATATATGAATCTTAAAATAAAGATTGTGCGTGCAGTGCAGTGTAACGCGGTGCAGGCAGTAAAGGTGCCGTGTCTCTCCTGTCTTCCTTTCCGAGCACTGTACCCCCCGTGTCCCGATCAGGCGTGTTTGCGTGTTTACCTTTCCCGGAGTTCAGAGTGCCCTAGACACTCACAACAAAACCTATTTTGAGGTTTCTGTACATGGGTCTCTGATGTGTTCCGGAAACGTTAGACTGAAATGCAGTTTACATTAGAGTACATACTAACTTTTCTCCTTGTTCCTAAGGAACACAGAAACTTGACTTAGCTACTTTTGTCATTACTAAGACAAAACACCCCAATGTTAGAGGAGAGGTGTTTTGGGCTCACAGTTTGTGGAAGTTTCAAACCATATTTGGCTGGCTCTAAGGGACTTAGGGGTAGCAGAGGGGCATTGTAGAGGAGAAACAGTTCCTGGTAGAGAAGACATGAGGCAGCAAGCAGAAAACCTCGCTTTACCTTTCACTCTACCCAGGGTATAATCCTGTTGAATGGTATCACCAACACATGGTGTGAGTCTTCCTATCACCCATACTCAAAACTATGATAGACCAATTAGTAGGCTAATTGAGTACCACAACCCTCAATCCCAGTGTCACATCCTTAATCGATATGTCATACCCTAGATCCAGCTACCTCAGAAAAGCATCAACCCTGAGTGCATGAGGTTATGGGGGAACATGCAGACACAAGCTGTAACATCACTGTAACTGAGATTCCCAGTAGGAGTTCAATGCTTGGATTATAGACATGTGCCCCACATCTGGATTCTTTCAATTTCATATCGAATATATCTGCTTATAATTTTTTGCTTAATGAATACTTAGCGCCAACTTTAAGTGCCCCTAAAAATTTAATCACAGATGACTCAAAGGATGACCAAAACTAGTTACTATATATTGTCCCCCATCAGATTGAGTATATAAGAATGCCCAGCCTATTAAAATATAAGTGATTTTTGTTACATTAGAAGTATATGTGCTTTAATGATACATAATTAGCATTAACTTTTACAAAAACTTAATTCTTACATTTCTGTACTGGACAATTTCAGTGTATATTTGATTGAGAAAGTGGCAGGCCTTGTTTATATTTTCTAAAGTGTCACGTAGTAAAGAAAATGTCATTTAGAAAATTAAATTTTACAAAAATTTGTTTTATGCTTTGACTGGTTATTATGTAATACTTTCTATACAGAATTTTTTAAAACAGCCAAAATACCATATTTTATTTGAAGATTATATACTATATATTATATATATCACTTTCCTGTTACTGGGATAAAATACCAACATCCACACATACATAGTCTTATTTCGGCTCATGGTTTCATACCTGTTTGACTGTTCTAAGGCAGAAATGATATAGTGAAAAGGTTTACAGGAGAAAAGATGCTCACACCAGGGCTTCAGAAAACAGAGACAAGAATATACCCTTGTGCTCCTGGAGACTATCTCATGCAAACAAACACCAACTCCTAAAAGGACATTCGAATATGGCCATATTGGTGGATGAATACACTGATGAGTATAGTCCCCCAGTGATCAAATCACCTGCTAAAAACATCAGCCCTGACCACAGGAGATTTTAGAAGGACATTTCAGCTCTAAATTGTAACATGTATTAAGTGGTTGATTAGACTGTCTAAATTTATGCAGACCCACAGCCACACAATCATTGCTTTGCAGGTCCCAGAATGACAAGTTTCATGGGAACATCAGATCTGTATGCTTTTCTTGTCCAGCAGTCTTCCCTGCAATCTTCAATGTAGTACTGTTTTTATATGGAATATATTGGCTATGTTTCCTCTTTTGTTTCTCCACATTTTGCTGCTTAGTGGTTCTAGGATTTGGGTTTTGTGAAGCCTGCATCCTAAACCTCATATTAGTGGTAACCTTGAGGATATAGAAGAAAATACCTGAAAATAACCACTATCATATTTGAATAAAAGTTGAAAGGTGAAAAATATGCTCAAGCTTGTTTTTTCCTGGACTTAGGTTGCCAGGTTTGTTGAGAAAAGCAGACAGTGATGTTATTATTTGAATAGTCAGTAGGGTTGTGTTTATGGGTTCTACATCTGAAAAATTAACTGAAAGTAAATATAATAAAATTTATTTCAGTAATAAACTTGTCTTCTTTTCTGCTCATTATTTGTTTAAGCACAATATGCTGTTTAAATAATGTTTACATGTATTAGATGCCAAAAGAAGATGACTTAAAATATTCAGGATGTTTACATGAAACGTTCAAAGGATTTACATAGTTCCCATGCAAATATTATGCTATTTGAGATGCAGCCTTGATCAACTGTAGAGTTTAGCTTTATGTGGGGGTCCAGGATAAACCCCCTTTAGACTCTGGAGGCTGGCTTCTTAATCTCCCATTGTGTGCCATTACAGAGAAAGTTGGGGACATAGCCTTGACAATCAAAGATCTTCCAAATAAGTAGAGTATATACTACAGGTGATGGCTATATTGATCTTTCTTTAATACCAAGAGCACATTAACGATTATGATGGTTAATCTTGCTTTTCAACATGATTGGATTGAAAAATGCCTGGGGAATTTGGTGCATTATTGAGGATGTTTTTATAGAATATTAGCACAAGGGACAGTAAACATTCCCCAGTGTGGGTAGCACCATCCAGTTTGGTGAGGGCGCACGTAGAACAAAAAGATAAGAAAAGCCTGCCAGTGCAATCTCTCACTCTCCGCTTCCTGATTGATATAAGATGAGCAGTGCTTGTCTCCCACCCCTTTTCCCATGGTGTTCGGTCTGCCAAATGGGCCAGAGGCAACAGAGCCAAGTGTCCATGGACTGACAGCTCCGAGGCTGTGAGACAAAATACAACTTTCCCCCTAATTTGTTTCTCACTGGGATTTGTCACACTGCTAGAAAGCTGACATAGCCATGCAGAGATATGCACATATGAAGAAGAAAGCTATGTGTTTATAGTGAGTATAACATATTCCAAAATAGTGATTACACTAGCAGAAATATATTAAAATATTAATATATAAATATAATTATTAAAACAACACCAATATATTAATATTTATAATAACTAATATAATTATATTGATATTAAAAATATATTAAGATAATCTTTGTAAGATGTTCCATGAAATCACCAACTGGGTTCGTATTTTATGTGGTTTCTGCTTTTGGTATGTTTTTAGGTCTGTCACTGTACTTTGAAGCCATGGCTTTTTGGCTCTCCTGGATTCAGTATTTCAGCATTCCCTATTATGGCTTTACAATAAGTTATACTCCTATATCATTTTGACTAAATTCCCAAGTAGGGAACAACCAAAATACAGCCTAACTACCTCCTTTTGGGGGTCATGTGTTCTCACTCCAGAATTTTATATCATGACCATTAGATAAGAATTTTATATTATCCTTGGTTAGCAGAAGGTCAGGGAGCTATGTGGGTTTTCTCCAATCACTCAGTTGTTTGAAGGAGATGAAATGGGGTCGGTAAGGGGAGAAATCTCACAATAAGGGGAGACACTGACTGATTAAAAACACATTGTGTCGTTGTATTTCATTTTCATCAGCAAATAAATGATAGGATAAGAGATAATATATAACATTTTGATAGAGAATTCAAAGAACATACCCCATCTAATTTTCATAGCCATGTTGACTTTAGTAAGACAATGAACTTCAGAAAAAAACTGCCAGTGTCTAAGGACAGCATAAATGAGAATCTAACTACATTTATTATAACTACAGCTCTCTTTTTTTTCAATTGTAGGATTTGAACTCAGAGCCTCATACATGCTAGGAAAGTACTCTTAAGTGACAGAATGTTCACCTAGAATGTGTAAGGCCTTGTGTTCTGTCTTAATACTAAAAACTAGCATCCAATAATAAACCCATGATGTGAATAAGCAACAAAAGGCCATGTTCATAAATCAATAATATTCTTTGGGTCTCAATGGGGGATTTTAATTTTAGTACTTTTGGCATTATAAAAATGGAGAAAGAAAAAGAAGGGGCCTATGGCATAATCTGTCCAACCCTTAGGGCTCCGTGTTTTCCAGGGAAAATAACCTTTCTTGCTTTGATATGACAAAGACTGTGAATGGAAAGTTCTTATGGTTTAGAAAAAGCAATCCAAATAAGGCTTGCAAATATAATCACGACACTTCTTTGGAAACTTTAAAAAATTTAAAACTATTTATCTTGCTTTATATTGCTATCCTTGTTTTATAGGCTTTGCAGCATAATGAATTTGGGACAAAAATTCTGTCACAGACTTGATATAGCAGAACTCAGTGACTGTCCCTTTGTAATGTAAGTTAGTGTTCAATGTCTTAACAGATTGTCTTATAACAAAGTACTTAGGTGTGATGGAAGAAGGCCCTGGGCTTATAGCTGGTACCAGACTAACTGAGCAAACCTTTCTAAATATGTATTTTCCAACCCATAAAAATGTCACTTTTCAGTTAACACTTGTGGACAGAGGTTCTGGTATTGTATAAACCCTCAACCTGCTGTAGTTGTATTACATGCAAAATTGTATGTAGTATGGAGAAAGCTGTTTCTGGCCTTTTAAGGAATCTTTCTGATGTTTTGATTATGGATTTGAGTTCATATTTTTTACAT